ATACTATACAAATGGCATAAGCACTGAAGATTTTGCCTTTAGGGCTCAGAAAGAAGCAGCAGTTTTCATTTTAATACAGAAATGAGACTGAGTACTTTGCCCATAATGGAGTTAGATCTGAACTTCACAGGTAGGAGGACAGGGTCACACAAGTGCCAATTATCGCATTAACATAATAGAGCCACCTAAATGTTGGGACATGCCTCGCTGTCTTCCTGCCTGGGCACCCCCTCAAGAAGAAAGACATACCTGGAATTCAGCCTCAGAGTGTGTTGCTTAAAGCCTTGAGTGCCCTAATCATCAGGTCTCCCTCCTAAAACGGGTCTCCTTCGCTGGCTTAATTGGCTGGACCTCATCGTGGAACTTTACATTTTTCCCAGGTGCATTTCATCCTGTTTGAGTTACCCCATCATGAGCTTTTAAATTGTATCCTGTCATTCAGATAAGTAGAATTAAGGCTATTTTTTTTAGGTGTGACGACATTATGGTTGTATTTTTTTAACTCAAATTTTATTGAGGTAATTCTAGATTCACATATTGTAAGAAATAATACAGAGAGCCCAGTGTCCCTAATGGTATTTTGCAAAACTATAGTATAATATCACGGCCAGGATATTGACATCGTTGGTACAATCCACCCTTCTTATTCAGATTTTCCCAGTTTTACCGGTACTCATTTGTGTGTGTGTGTGTGTGTGTGTGTGTGTGTGCGTGCAACTGTGTGTATAGGTTTGTGCATTTACCACCACAGTGAAGATGCTGAACAATTCCAACATCACAACAATACCTCCTCTTGCCTTTTTATAACTACGCTCTCCTCCCTTCTACCTGCCCTTCCCCCCGTTCCTAACACCTGGCAACCACTAATCTGTTCTCCATTTCTAAAATTTTGTCATTTCAAAATGTTATATAAGTAGAATCATACAGTATGTAACTTCTTGAGATTGGCTTTTTTCATGCAGCATAATTCCCTGGAGATTCGTGCACGTTGTTGTGTGTATCAATACTTTGTTCCTTTTTACTGCTGAACAGTATTCCATGGATGGATGTACCACAGTTTGTTTGATCGTTTGCCTGTCCCTTTAGGACATCTGGGCTGATTCTAGTTAGTCTATGGACATTTGTGTGCAGATCTTGTGTGATATAAGTTTTCATTTCTTTAGGATAAATGCCCAGGAATGCAATTGCTGGGTTGTGTGGTAATTACAAGTTTAGTTTTACAAGAAACTGCCAAACTATTTTCCAGAGTGGCTGTACCATTTTACCTTCCCATCAGCAATGTATGAGTGATCCACTTTCTCTGCATCCTCACCAGGATTTCGTTTTGTCACTTTTAAAAATTTTAGCCATTCTGATAGCTGTGGTGCTACCTCACTGTGGTTTTAATTTGCATTTCCCTAACAGCTAATGATGTCAAACACCTTTTCAGGTGCTTATTTGCCATCTGTGTGTGCTCTTCAGTGAAATGGCTCTTCATGTCTTTTGCTCATTTTCTAATTGAATTGCTTGCTTTTCTACTGTTGAATTTTCAAAGTTCTTTATATATCTTAGATCTGAGTTCTTTGTGAGATACGTAATTTGCAAATATTTTCTCCCATTCTGTAGCTCATCTTCTCATCATCTTAACAAGAGTCTTTTGTACAGCAAAAAAGATTTTAATTTTGAGATATCTAGTAATACATTTTTTCTTTTATGGATCTTGCTTTTGGTGTCAAGTCTAAGAACTCTCTGCCTAACCCTGAAGATCTTCTCTCATGTTTTTCTCTAAAAGTTTTCGAGTTTTACATGTTACATTAAGTCTATGATCCATTTTGAGTTAAGTTTTGGATAAGATGTGAGGTTTATGTTGAGGTTCATTTTTTTTTTTGCCTGCAGATGTCCGATTGCTCTAGTATTATTTGTTAAAAAGGCTGTACTTCCTCCATTTAATAGCTTTTGTGCCTTTGCCAAAAATCACTTGAGCATATTTGTGTGGGTCTATTTCTGGACTCTCTATTCTGTTCTATCGAGCTATGTGTCTATTCCTTTGCCAACACCACACATTCTTAATTACTGTGAGTCTTGAAATTGGGTAGATTGATTCCTCCCCTGTATTCTTTTTCAAAATTGTCTTAGTTACTCTAGTTCCTTTACCTTTTCTTATGCATTTTAGAAAAAGCTTGTCTATATCTGTAAAAAACCTGCTGGGCTTTTGATAAAGATTGTGTTCAACCTGTATATCAATTTGGGAAGAATTACCATTTTAACTATGTTGAATTGTCCAATCCATGCACAGTATGTCTCTCCATTTATTTAGATTTTATTTGTAAAGCTTTCACCAGCATTGTGGAGTTTTTCCCACAGAAATCCTACATAACGTTTTACTAGATTTATGCCTAAGTATTTAACTTTTGGGGAGTGATTTGAAATAGTATTTTTAATTTTGGTGTATAAGTGTTCATTGCTAGTATATAGAAGTACAATTAACTTTTTGTGTGTGTGTGAGGACGATTGGCCCTGAGCTAACACCTGTTACCAATCTTCCTCTTTTTGATTGAGGAAGATTGTTGCTGAACTAACATCTGTGCCAATCTTCCTCTATTTTTGTATGTGGGACACTGCCACAGCACAACTTGAGGGACAGTGTGTAGGTCTGCGCCCAGGATCTGAACCTGCAAACCCCAGGCCGCTGAAGCAGAGCACGCGAACTTAACCACTATGCCACTTGGCTGGCCCATACAATTAATTTTTATGTTTATTTTGTACCCTATGGACTTGCTGAACTCCCTTATTAGTTTTAGAAAGTTTCTTTTTATAGATTCTGTGGGATTTTCTACATAGCCTATCATGTCACCTGCAAACGGGGGAGTTTTACTTTTTCCTTTCCAATCTGTAAAGCCTTTTACTTCTTTTGTTTTCCTTATTGCAGTTGCTAGCCTTCCAGTACCATGTTGAATAAAAGCTGTAAGAGCAGACATCCTTGCCTCGTTCCCGATTTTAGGGGGAAAGCATTCAGTCTTTCACCATTAAGTAAGATGTTAGCTGTAAGTTTTTTGTAGACGGTCTTTATCAAATTGAGAAAACTCTCTGCTGTTCTTAACTTGAAGAGAATTTTTCTTTCTTTCTTTCTTTCTTTTTTTTTTTTTTTATCACAAATAGGTGTTGGATGTTTTTTCTGTGTCAATTGATAATGATTGTACAAATTTTCTTCTTTAACTTGTTGACATAGTGGATTACATTAACTGTTTTTCAAATGTTGAACCAACCTTGCATACCTGGAATAAATCCCACTTGGTCATGAGGTATAATCCTTTTAATCCATTATTGAATTTGGATAGCTAATTATGTTGTTGAAGATTTTTGCATCTAAGTGTGTGAGACATTGGTCTGTAGGTTTTTTGTTTTTGATTTTTAAAATATATACCATCTTTGTCTGATTTTGGTATCAGGGTAATACTGGCCTCATAAAACAAGTTGAAAGGTATTCTTTACTCTTGTATTTTTCGGAAAAGAGTGCATAAATTGGTGTTAATTTTTCTTTAATATTTGGTAGCATTCTTTAGTGACACCATCTGAGCCTGGAGATTTCATTTTTGAGAGTTTTAAAATCATGAATTATACCTTTATATTTAACATAGGCTTATATTCCCCACATATCTGACTAGAGAAAGGTTTTGTATACTTTACCAGAGGAAGGATGTCAGAGAGGACCATGCCCCGCCCTCCTGTGCACTGCAGCTGGCCCTTTCCTTTTCATCCCTTGGGTAACTGCAAGGTTAAGGGTGGGGAGGGCAGGAAGCTTCCTGCCCTCCCCACCCCAGCTGTTTCCTCACAGGGCAGGCAGGGGATGCTGAGCATGAGGTGAAGGTGCATTGCCAGAGTTCTACATTAGAGAAGAAGAAGTAAGGGCACCAGGAGGGGTGTCCCCATCAACTCCCCATCCTCTCGTGGTCACAGGGCTTGATAACGAACAGCAGGTGCCAATCTGGAGACGGCAAAGAGATGAAAAGTCCAGGGCAAGGGCCCCAGCCCCCTATATGCTGTGCTGTGGATAAGATGTTATCACGGCCACTGTAACAGCAAAGGGAGGCAGGTGTTGGGTATTCGAAGAGGAGCATGTGAAAGTGGGGGGAGAAGGACCATAGCAGAAGATCCAGACTGCACCTTGGGTTATATGCAAGGATGAGCCCGGGGCTGCCCAAAGTCCTTATGAGTGCAGGTTCAGCTTCACAGGCTTCCTTGAATCTGTGTGCAAACCATAGACCCACTGTGTGCACACTCTGGGCACATCGCACACACCTGTGTGAGCAGACGCTTGTGTCCCAGGTGGCTCAGGGACCTGCAGTCTGCCTGGGGTGGAGTCTCTGAGCTGGCTTGGTGCCCTTCTGGATTGGACTCTTTCCACAGCAGACCTGAGCCTGCACTTCCCAGCTGGCAGCTGATGCCCCATTTGGCCTTGTTAGGTGACGTGAAAGGATGTGCTTTGGTACCAAGGATGGCAGTAGCAGGAGAGGGAGGTGATGAGAAGCTGGCAGGAGCCTTCATGGGTTTGCCATGTAGGGGTGAGAAGCTCAGATTATGCAACTTGCTTAAGGTCACATAGTCAGTTAGTGGCAGAGATAAGCCTGCCTCTAGGTGGATCTGACATAAGAGTTGTAAATATAATGTGCTTCAGTTTTCTCATTTGTACAATGGAGAAACTAATGATCCTTACCTCCCAGTATGGTCATGAGAATTAAATGAGATAATGGTGTAACAATCTAGCACATGGCCCAGACAGAACACGGTCAGGGCTCAATAATATTAGCTATTATTATTATTACTATTAATATGCCATTTTATCACCAAAGGCAGAATTATAATGATGATAACAAAAGTTTAGCATTAACACAAGTATGATGAAATTAGAGTTGTTTCTGGTTCATAAACGTGTGGGGTCTTTCGTTAGAAACTAATTTGAAGCGGTGGCATTCCCCCTGTGTGAGCCAACCTGTCAGCCTGTCTATCTACCTCGATCCCAGATGGAGTGGCCGTTCTGCCTGCCCCTCAGAACCTCTCTGTGCAATCAACCAACATGAAGCATCTCTTGACGTGGAGCCCAGTGGTCGTGCCTGGAGAAATAATAGACTATTCTGTCGAGTACCAGGGGTGAGTCTTTTTCTTAGTTTTTCTCCCTTAGATGGCAGTTGATTCCTGGAGGCACAGCCCTCATTTCAGAGCTCGAGGAGGCTTTGCGAGCCCAGGGATGGATTATTTCCCATGGTCTGCCTCCTTTGTCTGTATGGGCATTGGGAGGGTTGAAGAAGCAAGGGAATTGTCCTGTGGATTTGACAGTAAACTCTCTGGGAACACAAATTTGTGTAAATACATTTTGGTGGAGCTTCTTTTCAACAGTGACTCAATTGTCCGATGCTGAAGAAAATCTTAAGAAATCAGTTTGACTCTGACTTGAGGTGGATAAGTCATTGGAGACTCACATCCTTTGGGGATGGGGGAGACCTTAGTTTTCCCGACTAAGAGCTTGCCCCTGGGAGCCAAAACAAATTGTGACCCTAAAGGTCAGCTGGCCCCAGGGCCAAACAGGCTCCACTCTTCTCCATGTGTCCAGACTCTCTGAGCTGTTGGGGAGTGACAGGACACAGAAAATGCTCAATGTATTGTATGCAATTAATACAAATTGAGCACCTCCATGTGTAGACATTCTTCTAGGCTCAGGAGTACAGTTGACAAGGTTTCTGGATATAAGGAGTTTACATTTAGAGGAGGAACAGATAATGAAAAGGTAAAGAAATACACTAGGTCTTCACTGTCCAATGTGGTAGCCACTAGACACCTTTAGCTATTTAAAATTAAATTAATTAAGTTAAATTAAAATATCTGTTTCCCAGTCATGTTAGTCAAATTTCAAGTTCTTAGCCACATGTGGCTAGTGACTACCATATTGAAGGCCACTTACATAGAACATTGCCATCATCACGGAAAGTTCTATTGGGCAGCACTGCTCTAGGCAATTTCAGGTAGTAATCAGTGCTGGGAGGAAGCTAAAAGGATGACGCAATGGAGAATTGACTCCACTCCTCCTTTTTATGAGTTGGTCAGGGGAAGTCTGTCTGAGGATGGGATAATTAAGCTGATATCTGAAGGACAGGAGGAGCCAGCCAACGTGAACAGCAGGGGCAGAGCATTTGAGACACAGTGAGCAGCTAGTCAAAGGTCCTAAGGTAAAAAGAGTTCAGCATGTTGGAGGAATGGCGAGGGGGCCAGCATGGAGGGAACATCGTGATTAGGGGCAGAGTGAGAGAGGCCAGAGAGTCCTGTTGGCCGTAGGGAAGAGTTTGGATTCCATTCTAAGTGCTTTGGAAGCTGTTAAGGAGAGAAATGTCATGATCTGCTCGGTGATGAAAGGTTTGAAGAATGACAGGAATGGAAGCTGGAAGCTTAGTCAGGAGACCACAGCAAGGCAAGTGATGACAGTGGCTGAGATTGGGGTGGTGACTGTGAATGGAGAGACCAGGATAGATTGGGGTTTATGGCTAGGTTTCCCTTGTCTAGTGATAAAAAGAGTAAGAAGAATGGCTGGTTGGTGAGGGGGGAGAGTGGAGGAACTGGAGTGTGGACCAAATGTTTATTTTCCTGACCCATAAAAAGTAGGTGAATGAGATAGTTACTTGCAACCATCACTGAGCCTGGGTGGAAGGGGCTGTTGTGACGCTGTGCCCTCCTCTCCTTGGCCAGAGAGTATGAGAGCCTATACATGAGCCACATCTGGATCCCCAGCAGCTGGTGCTCACCCACTGAAAATCCTGAGTGTGACATCACTGATGACATCACTGCCACTGTGCTGTACAACCTTCGTGTCAGGGCCACTCTGGGCTCACAGACTTCAGCCTGGAGCACCCTGAAACACCCCTTTAATCGAAACTCAAGTAAGGCACTTCTCTCTTTACTCTCCCACCCTCACCAGCCTCCCCTGGTGAGTGAATATGATTCACTGAGACTTTCAGGATTCTTTTTAGCATCAAATTAATCTCGCAAAGCTAGAGTACTGTGAATACAAACAACTCTTTTAAAAAATTGCCAACTGCTTCCCACATGCCCTCTCTCTTGTTTTGAAGGAGACTGGAAGTCATTCCTAGTGGCCTCTGTCAGAGTCTGCTAGTGGGGGGGAACCTGGGAGGAAAGCTGCTCCCAGTGGGGAGATGGGGTGAGGACTGCTGTTTTCTGCCCCGATAGTGCCTCCATAACTCTTATACTGCCTCCCCTCTGGTGCCTCATCAACCCCATATTTGTTGCCTGTGTGAGCACTTTCTTTGTGCAATAGCCTCTATATGTTTCTCAGAGCCACCAGAAACAGTCATGTGGAAATAAATAACGTCTCTGTAGCAAAAGTACTTGGAAAATGATTGAGAAAAAACCAAGGGAAGAATCCAGATAGGTGGCCAGATATGGCAGAGCACAAGCAATGGCCAGGGTGTAAAAGGGTGTGTGTGTCTGGGGAACTGCAAGAGCAAGGGCTGGATGGCCAGGGGGTGAGGAAGCAGCTGGTCACATGGGGAAGGGCTGTGACATGAAGCTTGATGAAATCAGTAGAGGGGGGTCATGGAGGAAGAGAGAGTCTAGGCCAGGTCTTACAGAATGATCACTGGCTGCCTTGTGGAAAGTAAAGTGGAGTAGGACAAGCCTGCAGGGCAGGGGAAGAGGGAGGAGGGGGTTGTAAAAGTCCAGCTGAGCCAAGTGGGTCCTGATCCCAGGAGTGGGGGAGGGGATGGGAAAGAGAGGATAAATTCCAGAGACATGGCTGAATTAAAAAGGACAGAGCTTGGGGATCAGTTATTGGGAGATGGAGTGGGGAGAGACAATGATGGTGTCCTGCTTCCAGTTGGGGTTGGTGAGAAAGTCATCCAAGGTAGGGAACCCGAGAGGGGCAACTGGTCTTGAGGAATAGGACACACTCCTGGCATTAGGATCTTTAAGACTGAGATTCCTACAAGACATCATGGCACAGATGTCTGATTGACAGTTGGAAATCAGGTCCTGGGCCTCAGACAGGTCAAGGTCTGACACACAACACAAAATTAATAGCTAAAGGCTTGGGAGCAGATGAGATTGTCCAGGGACAAGATATGAGGATGAAGAGAACCCAGAACAAGATCCTGGGAAACCTCTGGGTTTAAAAAGTGGATGGAGGGGCCAGCCCTGTGGCCAAGTGGTTAAGTTCGTGCGCTCTGCTTTGGTGGCCCAGGGTTTTGCTGGTTCAAATCCTGGGTGCGGACATGGCACTGCTCATCAGGCCACACTGAGGGGGCATCCCACATACCACAACTAGAAGGACCCACAACTGAAAATACACAACTAGGTACCGGGGGCTTTGGGGAGAAAAAGGAAAAATAAAATCTTAAAAAAAAAAAACAGTGGATGGAGGGACTGGCCCCATGGCCTAGTGGTTGTTTGGCACGCTCCGCTTAGGCAGCCCAGGTTCAGTTCCCTGGCATGGACCTACACCACTCATCAGTGGCCATGCTGTGGTGGCAACCCACATACAAAATAGAGGAAGATTGGTGCAGATGTTAGCTCAGGGCAAATCTTCTTCAAGCAAAAAGAGGAAGATTGGCGACAGATGTTAGCTCAGGGTGAATTTTCCTCAGCAAAAAAAAAAAAAGAAAAAACAAAGCAGATGGAGGGAAGGGCCCCAGTACATGGCTGGGCAGGTGGAGGAACAGTGGGGATGGTGTTCAGGCTACTGGATGGAGAACTGACTGAGGTGGGAAGAAGCAAGGCAGCTCCTCCTCGGAGACAGGCGTGGGCGATAATGTGACCAGTATGCAGACGCAGGAAAGGCCTTTGGTGACTTCTGTTTTCTTGCTGTGGCAGAAGATCCTCGGCTGTGAGTGAGGACAAAGGAGGTTTTGGGGCGGCAGCTACAACAACAGGATGAGTCCAAGGTTACTGAGGAGTGTATGAGATTGATAGAAATCAGGAAGATTTAGGAGGTGGGAGAGCCCAAGCCGGAAGGGGCTGAGGAAGGTGAAGATAGATTTGAAGGGGAAGTTGGCCCTCTAGGGTCAGACAGATGTGGTTCAAATCCCAGCTTGGCCGCCTGAGAGCTGGGTCCCTGCCTCCTCATCTGTAAAAAGGGCAACAGTTTGCCTCACTGGGGAGTTGAGGGACTATAGGAGATGAAATGTGTAAATGCTCAGTGCAGTGCTGTCCTGTCACAGCACTCAGCTACTGGTGAGTATTCTCATTGTTGTTGCCCAAGGATGCCCAGAGTTGACAGCCAGTGAGCAGAGGAGGGAAGAGGTGGGGGCAGGAATGGGACCATCGGAACGGGATACCAATAAGAATTTTGGTGCAGAATGTGGGCTCCTCTGCCCAGGCCTCTTTCCCCAGGCACTGGAAGGATATGATGGAGGCACTGAGATCCCAGTACCAGGCCCTGGGGAAGGCTAAGGGGTGCTGGAGGGTGGCGCAGTTCTGCCCCTGCTGCAGTGCCCAGGCAGCCCCAGCACCACTTTCCTCTGGGTCCTGGGAGCACAGAGCTCCAGCCAAGACCACTGCTGGGAGGCAGCAGCTGTTGTTGGAAAGGAAGGCACAGGTCCGATGGAGATAAGAAAACTATGCCTACAAAACTATGTGGGCAGCAGTGTGCAGTGACAACTTGTGCTTGGGAAGGCCAATACAAACAGGGAAAGATCTTGCTGCAGGAGGAGCTGAGGAACAGGGGTCTCTGTATCTGCACAGAAGGCAGGAGATGCGGTCCTGCATGACCCCTGTGCAGGTGGAGGTAGCTACGGAGCTAGGATGGAATCGTGATTCCTAAGGGCGTTAATAAATCTGTTCTGCCTTTGAAAAAGGCTACCCTGGCTTCTCCCCAGGCAGGTGCAAAACTTGTTTGAAGGCTCTCCTGAGAAGGATCTCCTACTCTTAAAGGGAAGCCTTGTTGAGAGCAGAGGTTCTTAATCTCAAGGGCACATTCAAGTCACAGGGGAGCTTTAGAACCACTTCTGTCTGGGGCCCATCCCCAGAGAGTCTGATTTAAACGGTGTCTGTGCATCCTGTTCATTGGGAGCATTAAGAAACAGCATCTGCTCACTTAAATGAGCCAAGGTGAGGAGCAACTTCTGCCAAAAAAGTAAAGAGGGGCACACATTATAAAATTTCAAAACAGAAAGAGATCATATTTACCTGAGTATTTAGTCACCTTTCTTGAGTATATGTGCCTCCTGAAGAAGGAGCAGAGGACTTATAGTTAATGAGAGGAGCGAAAAAAGGGAATTGTGGTAAGTCCTTGTCATTTGTTTCATTTGCTCATCATTCAAAAAGCATTTACTGAGCACCTGCTGAGTACAAGAGACTATTGGTGTACATGCTTCTGCATGCTGTGAAGCTACAACCAACCCCCCACCTCCCCAGCCTTGCCCAATGAGCCTGACATGTTTCCACTGAGGAGTTGGTCACAAACTCCCAGGACAGAAATCAGTCCTGTCTGGGCCTGGCTTTGATTCTCCCCTTGTCTTGCCAACAGCCATCCTCACCCCACCTGGGCTGGAGGTCAGCAACGATGGCTTCCACCTGGTTATTAAGCTGGAAGACCTTGGGCCGCAGTTTGAGTTCCTTGTGGCCTACTGGAGGAGGGAGCCTGGTGCCAAGGTGAGACTTCCGGCCTTGGCCTTTGAGTCAGGCTTCAGGAAATGAGCCCGAGGGGTGGGTGAGGGAAGTGGGCCCTGCAGTGCTCACCGTCTGGGGGCGGCCTGGGTGAAGGGTGAGAAAGGAGAGAGGGCAGTAGGCTGACAATCCTCCTCTTCAAAGAATGGCCTTGGTCCAACCCAGGCCTTGGCTGGGAGCCTTCTCAGGCCAGATTTGCTGAAGTATGGGGGCTGCCTCCTTCCCTAAACTCTAACATGGTTGGATCCCAATACTTTTTCAATGCATTTCTTCTCCTTCATCAGCCTGTCTTCTCAGCCATTCTCCCTGGCATGTTTAGGGGCAGCAAACCAGGGTGCTCAAGATCAACTGGATGATTTCAAAAGTGTATGAAGCTGGCACAAGCCTCTTGAGGGTGTTTCTGGGCAGGGTGCAGAAGTTGGGGTGGAGAGCCAGGAGGTGACTTACAAATAAACTAATCTAATTATGAGCCAATGGGCCACCCAGAATGCCTCGATGGGGTGCCGCCCCTCCCTGTGAGGTTGCCCTAGGCTGGGATGGGCGGGAGGCCAGCTCTCCCAGAGGGAATGGCCAAACAAGCAGCAGCAGCAGAAGGGGTGGAGCTTGAGCAGGAACTAGGGGCAGTTAGACCCATGGAGGCCCAGTCCAAGGTGATATGGTGGCAAGGCCCACCCCAGTCAGCACAAGGAAAAATAGGCTTTATCCTAAGGATTAATATGGTACAAGAAGGGGATCTCACAGAATCTATGGACAGAGCTGGATCAGAGCCAGGCTGCAGCACAGCCTCACTCACCCAGGGACCCTCGCCTGTGAGCCTTGCTTCCTTCTGGTGGGTCCTGTCCCCAGCTTACTCCAGGCCTTGATCCCTCGTTGCTCCTTTCTACCCATGCCTATGGCTGTGACTCCCCAGTCCCTCTAGGCCTCTCAGGCCTAACTCCCCCTCACATGTTTTCTCCCCTTTGTCCCTGCTTCTAGCTCCAGGTACTCAGTGTCCCAAGACCAAATTCCTAGGAGAGTTGTTCTGGTTGGTCCTGCTCATTTTATCAGGCTAAGCTTAGGGGTCACTGCAGGCTGCTGGCCGGCCTCTGGTGGGCCTTTCAGACAAAGGATATCCTTGACCTCAGAGCAGTATTAGGGAAACAGGGACATGCCCTACCACCTACTCATCAGGGGCTGTGGGTTGGGTAGCTTCCCCTGGAAGGTGGGGCAGGCAATAATAATAGTTTCCAGTATTTACTCCTGCTGGGTCAAGGCTCAATGGTAGGACAAGGCATTGCCAGCCATGCAGATGGAGTGATGTGAGGGACAGATCAGGCGATGGGCAGGGGGGAGCATATAGCTCGCTCAGATTCTTTGGGAGCAAGCCCACTCCCCACGTTTGGTAATTGGTGGGGCCGGTGCTGAAAGAGGAGCCTGTACCCTGAGTCATCTGGGCTTGGCCCAGACAAGCCTCCACAGGTTCAGATGTGGAGCATGGGCCTCAGCAGGTGGGTGGGGGTGGAGGAGTGTACAGATGGATGCACAGACGGGTGGACGGATGGATGCTTGGGGAAGCACAGCCCACCTGCTCCATTGCTCCTGTGCACTGATCCCCCCTGGGAGCAGTGGCCATGCCAAGGCCCTGGCTCAGTCAGATTTCTGACCTTCAGGTCTCTGCCCAAATGTGACCTTATCAGAGAGGCCTTCCCTAACCATGCTGGTTAGTGCCTCCCCATCACTCTGCCTCCTTGCCCTGCCTCCTCTTTCTTCACAGCCCTTACCACCACCTGCCATGTATCATGTACATATCTGTCTCCCCATGTGAGCTCCATGAGAGCAGGCACTGTCTGTTTTGTTCAATGCTATGTCTCAGTGCCTACAACAGAACCTGGCACATAGTAGGTGCTTAATAAATAAAAATAAATGAATGAGTGAGAGGGAACATTTTACATGCATCCCGGAAAGGAAATATCTTCAGCTTTCCTTCCCTGGCTCTTCTTGCCCTTTCCTGTCCTGTGTCCCTTGGGATGTAACTGTTTTCTGGTCTCCTCAAGGAGCACATCAAAATGGTGAGGAACGGGGGTGTTCCAGTGCTCCTGGAAACTGCAGAGCCAGGAGCTGCCTACTGTGTGAAGGCCCAGACATTCGTGAAGGCCATCGGGAGGCACAGCGCCTTCAGCCAGGCAGAGTGTGTAAAGCTGCAGGGTAAGGATGGCCTGTGTTCCCTGGAGCCCCGCACAGATGACAGCCCTTTCTGATGGATGCTCAGCTGCCTGTCGGGTTCCTTTGGTTCTGAGTCTCCTGTTGGTTTCACTGACCTGCCCCCCAGGCTGGGTGGGTGCCTGTGGAAGGTGTGCTTCACTCTAACTCCTCTGGAGGTGAGAGTCCACCCTGGGCCGGGGCGGGGCTCACTTGAGCAGCTGTCTGGAACACTTTCCCCCTGAAAGCTCCCTAGGCCTGAGACCAGGGGCTGCAAGGCTCCTTTACCAGATGGCAACTGCCTGAGAATCACAGGGGGGTTGCCAGAGAGGCAGCCAGGGGATGCGAGTCATTCCTTGTGAGCAGGCACCCCACTGTACGTCGCAGCTGCTTTCAGCTGGAAGGGACCTCATGAAAGTCTGTAGAATCCTCTTGTTTGACTTAATTTTTTCCCTTGAATTTTTTTTGTGGTCTAAAAACCTACAATGTTTAAAAACCCTTTGAAAAGAAACAGTATAAAACCCACACATCCCATGATTCTGCCACTCAAACACCACTAGGGACATTTCTGTGTATAACTTTTTAGTCTTTAAAGAAATTATTATTTTAAATATTTAGTGCTTTCCCCTGGTTCAAAAATATGATAAAATACACATGAAACTTTCTAATTCTCTTTCCAATCCTTATAATTTCCATTCCTCCTCCATAGGTATTAGCTTCTTGTATATTCTTCTAAAGACTTTTAAATGCACATACAAATAAATGAGAATATATTTATATATATTTCCCTTCTTTTTAAAACAAATGGTACCATACTGTAGACACTGTTCTGGGTCCTGCCTTTTTCACTTTATATGTCTTGTAGATTTTTCCATATCTATAAAGAACTTCTTCATCCTTCTTTATGGCTACATAGCATTCCATTGTGTCTTTATACAAGTAATTTAACTTGTCCCCTATTGATGGGCATGTAGTTTTCCCCCAATATTTCACTATTAGAGCCAATGCTTTAATTAATTACTGTGTACACAGATCATTTTGCTGGCGTGTGTATATCTGAAGGATAAATTCCTGGAGGTTGACTTGCTTGGTCAGAGGCATACACATTTGAATTTTGACTGCTGTTCCCCAATTGCCCTCCAAAGGAGTGTTATCCTTCCATCACTGCCCACAGGGAGACACATGTTGTAAGCGGAGTGCACATACACTGTGTACCTGCTTTTTCACAAATATCATATCCATAATATTTTCTATGTAGATTCTCTGATTACCATTTTATACTACTTTTTAAAACAACGTAAATCCAGCTTATTAAAGAATTCATACAACACAGAAGTATATAAAATAAGAGGTACATGTTCTCCATTGTCCCCACACCACTCAAGAGGTTCAGGATGTTTGGCATTGAATCTTCCAGCCGGGGTGTGGTACCAGTACTCACAGGCACAAATGGGACTATATTGTGCTCGCTATTCTGTCGCTTGCCTGTCTCCACTTACTAGTATATTGTGAACACCTTTTCATGTCGGTACGTATGGATCTACCTCATTTTTAAAGAAGCTGCATAATAAGCTAATACATAGATGTGCCAAAATATATGGAACCATCCCCCTAGGAAAAGGTATATTCTGTGCTTTCCAGGCTCTTACCACTACAAACCATGCTGTAGTGAACAAGCTTGTAGGTATCCTAATTCTCATTTTAATGTCTAAATTCCTAACTGATCACGCTGATGTCCCATGATATATTAAATCATCTCCTACTTGGTGATATTTAGATCATTTCCCTGTTTTAGATCATTTCCATTTGCTTTTGAAGATGGTGCTCATTGATTGATTGATTCATTCATTCAAGGAATACCTATTGAGCATTAACTAGGTGCCAAGTGTGGCCACATCACTGGGACACACTCAGGGAAGTCCTGCTGTCATGGAACTTACCCTCTAGTTGGGGAGATAGGCTACAAACAAGTAAACGAAGGAGATAATTCCCTTGGTGGCATGTGCTATGAAGAACATATTCCAAAGCATGCCTGGAGGTGGTGGGGGTGCAGAGAGGTAGATTGGTTACAAGGCTGTTGCTCTAGTCCAGATGTTGCTATGAACTGCTTTATGCATGTAATTGTTTCCTTCCTTGGAATTATTTTTTGGAATCCAATCATAGGAGTGGATGAAAGGATATGAACCTTTGTTTATCTCTTGATGTGTACTTCCAAAAGATTCTCCAAAAGCACTGAAAGAAACATATGAAAGAAACATAAGGAAAAGCACATATGTGGCTGGGGGCCACATATGTGAGACCAGCAGCTTCTCTGCAGTCTCATTGGCTGTGCCTCCCTGAACTTTGCGGTGAGTGGCCCAGCCCAGAGGGGCTGATGAGTTGTTCGAGGTTACATAGAACAGAGAGAGGGGAAGATAACTCATCCCCCTTCCACATCTCCAGACGCTCAGACCTGGCACTTTCTGATACATTTACTTAGTAGAATGCTGGTGGGCTTTGGAGCCAGCCATATCTGAGTGACCTGGCGGTATGTCACTCAACCACAGTAGGGGCTTAGATATATCATAGTTATTTTGTGATGGCTTTCTGAACTCAGGATTTTCCCCCATAATATGAATCGAGGCCAAGAGCAAATTGTGAAACACACTTTGTTTTCAGTTACCGCCCAGCTCCCTTCTGTGCTGTTCTCTTTCAGCACCTCCCCCTCATCCTGCCTGGGGCCTGGCACTCTGCCCCCCTGGCAGCGGTGCCAAGGTATGTGAGAACACAGCTAGTGGCTTAATAGGTGATGCTCCTCCCTTCCCTTCCTGAGAAAAAGATCCTAATCTTCCCCAGGGCTTTCTGGAAACCAAGCCTTCATCTGGATTCTAGAAAAATGGTTTTAATGGTGGTAATTTTAATCCTAGGACATACATCAAATCTCAGGATGTTGGCATCTGCCATCTTGGCCAATGTGCAGAGCCAACTCCAGGAAAGTGAGGGAGGCCCAGGATTGGAGACTTCATCTTCACTGCGGTCTCCTAAGCCTGTCCTTATCTTTTCATTTCCAGGAGAAGCCCTCTCCCTGGCGCTGGCCCTGTTTGCATTTGTTGGCTTTGTGCTGATCCTTGTGGTTGTGCCGTTCTCCATCTGGAAGATGGGCCGGCTGCTCCAGTACTCCTGTTGCCCCGTGGTGGTGATCCCTGACACCTTGGTAGTTATGTTCTTTTTTCCTTTCAGCACAACACTGACCAAATGCAGTTTGGGCCTTGGTTGGGCATGGGCACATATTTTGTGGGTCTATGAGCATTTGCACAAAGAGGGGATCAGAAGGGCTGGGAGAGACCTCCCTTCGCCAGGGAGTGGTGACCTTCCTCAGCCTCCCATCAGACCAGTGTTGCTTGCCTCCAGGACCTGGCACAGCCAAGAGAGCAGGTGTGCACAGCCCAGGAAGCTGGGCATCTCAGGAGTCATGCACAGTCTTAGCCTTCCCCACGGGCCTTCTGAGCATTCTTGGCCCCTTCTCATAGGTATAACAGCAGCTACATCCAGTAACATGTTCCAACACAACATATTCACCTCATATGCCAAGAGCCTCCTTGGTTCTCAGGTGAAGTGCAGGTTTGTGCATGTGGGAGGCACAGACTGTACTTTGCCTTTGCCCAGGGGCAGGGAGGCATTCTGGACCTGCCCAGTGACTACTTAAGATTAGGGGTCTGCAGTTGCTGTCTCAGCTCCTCACAAGCCCAGTCTCCCGAGGACACTAGACCACAGATCTGAGTCTCTAGAGTAGGGATAGGCCCTGTGTGCCCATGTCAGGGTGGAGGAAAATCAAAAGCAGGCCTCCAGCAGCTATCGCATGTCCATCTGGCTACCACCTATGTGCTCCCACCCTACCCTAGACCTCAACACAAAGCAGCGCAAACAAAACAAAACAACCACAAACAAAAACAAACCCATCGCCGTCACCTCAGGGATTCCCACAGTTCTCTCCTGGGAGGAGGCGTTAGCAGTCCCCTTCTCAGAAGCAACGAGAACCTGCAACCTATCCATTCCTGTCATTCCTTAACAGCCTGGAGTCACTCTGGAAGGAGTCAGTCTTGTGACGTCTTCATGGCCCTGAGACACGGGCCACACTCTCCCTACACAGGAGGAATACTCCTCCCTGGAACCCGGGCATCAGGACACCCCTCCACCCTGCTATCCAGTCAGCTCTCCTCTTCCAGTACTTCCAGGTGGTCATAACTTGAGCTGACACTGGGACAGAGTTAGGCACCAGGCATCGTTCTAAGGCTTTACATATATGGACCCATTTCATTTCCCTTCTTCATAATGCTTACCCATGTACTTTCATCAAGTCCCCCCTCCAGCCCACCCTGAATGACCACATGGTTACCACCAAACATAGAGGCGATGTGGTGTCTCAAACATGGGGGACAGAATGGCCTCATTCTCCTTCAGCAAGAATTTGAGGGGCTCAAATTTCCCTGAAGCATAAAAGGAGGTGTATTCTGCAGTTGTTGGGGTAGCATATTATAAATATCAGTTGGGTCAAAATGTTTGATAATATTGTTCAGACTTTTTTGTATAGTTCTATTAGTTATTGAGAGTGAGACAAAATCTCCAACTATGAGCGTGGATCTGTCTGTTTCTTCTTTGATGTCAATTTTTCTTTCCTGTGTTTTGACGCCCTGTTTTAGGCGCACATATACTTATGACTGGTATGTCTTCCTGAGTAATTGAGTCTTTTATCGTCATGAAATGTCCCTTTTTATCCCTGGCAATATTCCTTACCCTGATATCAATATAGCCCTTTTTTGTTTACTGTTTGTATGGTGTAGCTTCTTTGCATATTTTTATTTTAAACTTACCTGAGTCCTCATATTTAAAGTGTGTCTCTTGTAGCAACATATAGTTGGTCTTTTTTTTTGTTTTTGTTTTGGTATAAATCCACTCCAACCATTTTTACCATTTAATTGGAATGTTTAGTCCATTAACACTTATCTCTTGTCCTCCCACTTTCTAACTTCTGTGTTTGCGCCCCTTTCTGCTTTCTGGTTCTTCAAGCCAGTAAGACTGTCACTGTTCGTGGCATCAAGAGAGACCTGCCCTCAGACAAGAACTGTAAAAACTGGGAAGCTCACCCAGTGACATTCTCTTTGGCCAGGTGTCAACTTTTGGTTGCTCTCCAGTGACTCAAGGAAATGGGTTTCACATTTTGGTCAGTTTTTGAAGTTGTCACCTGCAGGAGGATTGGTCTGACTGGTGCCCCTCTGCTATAAGTAGAAGTGGAACTCTGCAATCAAAGAGGTGTGCCTGAGCCAAGCCAAAATGATGACAATGGTGGGGGAGCATTCCCGGTTTGGGCAGGTCACTGGCTCTTCTCTTCTACACATGGTGATGATCTCAGCCTTCCTCAGCTGGACTCCATCAAGTTGTCATCCTTTGTGGTTTTCCTCTCAACTGTCACCCATGCTTACCCTCTACACACAGGCCATTTCATTCCTAACACCCTCCCCGTTTTTCCCTCTTCTGGTCCTGCATTCAGCAGCCCAGCAGAGTTTCCTCTCCACCTCAGGATCAGGGGCCCTAGGATCCTTCTAAGACCCAGTGTCTTGTGAGTGAGCAACAGAGTAAAGAGCCAGGAAGGGGGCCAGCCCTGTGGCTGAATGGTTAAGTTTGTGTGCTCCGCTTCAGTGGCTGGGGTTTCACTGGTTCAGATCCTGGGTGCGGACCTGGCACCACTCATCAGGCCATGCTGAGGTGGGGTCCCACATAGCTCAACTAGAAGAACCTACAACTAGAACATACAGCTATGCACTGGGGGGCTTTGGGAAGAGAAAGGAAAAAAAAAGATCGGCAACAGATGTTAGCTCAGGGCAAATCTTAAAAAAATAAATAAATAAAGGGCCAAGAAAAGACCACGTAAAGGGTCAATTCCTTGTAGCATTTCAGGTGCACAAGAAGAGCCCTCAAATGGCACGAACTCCTGGGAATCCTAATGCATTATGGGCCACACCCTAAAAATACCTTTGCAGAAAACCAAACAACTTAGATGAGACCAGAGACAAGCAGATTCTATGAGAGTGTGACCAGTTTCATCCATGGATGGTAGATGCCACTACCTGTGACTACCTTTTGCTTCTCTCTTCTCCTTTACCATCCTTCCCACATTGTTCCAGGATCAGCTCCTGCATTCACTCCTTTCCATAATGCTTTTAATTTTTATTCTGTTCCTCCCTAGATTTTTAGGGTGGCCCATTTCTCTGAGTATATGCATTTCTCACAGGGCTGTGTGAGAAATAGATCACTAGTGTCCATTAAATCCCAAACCAATTCTGGAGCTGTACATCACAACCGCCGTCTCCCCCTCTCAGCCTTGACTCCAGCACAGCCTCGCTGAACTTCAATATTCGTGTAGTTATAGATAATCCTCCAAACTATTAAAAAGCAACTTCCAGCCATCCTTGCAAAATCCAATTAAACCATGAAAAATTACCAAGTGGAAATCCTTGACAACTCTTCAAAAAGCCCTATTGAGTTTGTAAGTGTTTAATTTATATATTTGGATTAAACATTTCATGTCTACATCTATAATTTTACAGTTGGTGATGGTTGCACTCTGCAATATAACACTAAGAAAGCCTTTTCATTCAAGTTTATATCACCAAGTAACAGTCTAAAGCAGAAATATACATGCAAAGAAAATTATATTAAGACTGCTCAGTGTATAGACCCTCCTTTAAAATATAATTTCTTTTCCTTGTCTTTCATCCATAATTGCTTCATGGGGATGGAGGCTTAGGTGCTAACAGTCTTTCTTTCCTTTCTGTGACTCACTGTATTCTTTCTCTTCTTGCTGTCATGTTCCACTGTGGGTAGCAAGCATGACGATGACCCTACGTTAGTCATTCTTCAATGGACCATCCCAAGTATGACTTTGGTGCTTCATAGAAAGTAGAGTTTGTGAGCTCAGATGCTGCTGGGGCCCTGATAGGTACAAACGAAAAAAAAAAAGAAGAGAAAAAAGAATGTGCAGTGCAATGAACGTAATTCCACGGGTAGAGATGATGGGCTACTTCTCAGCTCCAGCAGTTACTGCCAAGAGGGAACGTGAGCCAGCGCAACCAGATCTCCAAGTTTTAAATGAGAAACCAGAAATCCATACTTTTACGAGAAATCTCCTGATTTTTAAATGTTGAAAACTAACTCAAATAAAAAAAATGTCAGCTGAGCCTTGCTTGAAAGTTTGTTCTAACCCATGGGACAACAGTTTTGCCCCTTCTGAAGTTCTGAGATTATGCTGTTTTACTCTAATGTTCTAGAACGACGCCATCCAATACAGCAGCCACTAGCCATATGTGGCTATTGGGCACTTGAAATGTGGCTAGTCGAAACTGAGAGGTGCTGTAAATATAAAATACACAATGGATTCTGAAGACTCAGTACAATAAGAGAATATAAAATATTTAAATGTTTTTATATTGATTATCTGTTGAAATATTTATTTTTTGATAAAATATATTATTAAAATTAATTTCACCTGTTTCTTTTAAAAATGTGCTACTAGAGAATTTTAAATTGCATATGTAGCTCACATTATATTTCCCTTAGACAGGGATCCCCTAGAATCTAAAAGATAGTCAGGTATCACGACTGCAGATTTAGGTAGCCAGGGTCCTGAGAACCTGAAGGGACCAGCAGCAGTGGATCGGTGGCGGGCTCCACACTGACACCCACACTCCGTGAGCCCTGCTTGCCCTTTGTTCTTTCCCAGTATTTGCCGTGGACCCTGAGAGTAAACCCCTGCCACGCCTCTTTACAAACAAGGAGCAAGGGGAACTGACTCAATGAAGCTGATGTGTCCTGGGCACTGAGGTGGAGGAACCATTGTGCCTGTTGATGTCTGCGCCCATGTCCCACCCTTTGGAGTAATGACAGGAAGGGCTGTGGGAGATGAATTGCCAAAGAACCTAGTGAATTCGGTGGAGGTGATCTGGCTAGTGACGGTTGGGAGAGTCCCTCTGAAAAGCTGATGTCTGCATTTTTACAGCCAGTTATGATCAGGTATTGGGGTTGCTGGTAGGAACATGAAATATGAGTGGGAAGGAACTCTCATTTATGGAGTGCCATCTCTGGACTGGGCACCTGCCAGGTGCTGTCTGTGGAGCACCTCAGACCAGGTCCTTATTTTCAGAGCTCTCTGGTGGAAGAAGCTCGGATGCTTTTGACTAGACAGTCTGGGCTTTTGTGGGGTAGGGGACCAGAGAGAGGAGTGCCGAGGAAGCAGGGCCCAAGAGATCTGCTGGTCAGCGCACTGGGAGATGATCTCACTAAATCTTGGAAACCCCGATCTAGGGGTTAGAATTGCCTTTGGGCTTTTTTGCTGTTCAAAAGTTAGTTAATCAGATAGTTGGGATTTTTGTGATGTTCTGTTCAATTACTACTGCATCTAATGAATATTTATGAAAATTATTTTTCAGAAAATAACCAATTCACCCCAGAAGTTAATCAGCTGCCGAAGGGAAGAGGTGGAGGCCTGTGCCACAGCCATGCTGTCTCCTGAGGAGCTTTTCAGGGCCTGGAGCTAGCAGGCCGGGAAGGGCCCCGGGAAGCTGAGAAACCTGGTCTGCGTGACACAGAGCCGTGAGGGGAAAGGCCGTGTGTCTGTTTTCCTCCCTGGACAAGGGACAAGAGACGTAAGAATACCCCGTTGTGTCCAGGTCTAGAACTCTCAGAGGCAGACAGCACTGAGTGGGGGTCAGGAGATGTGACGTCTAGAACTGGATCTATGTGCCATTCACTAGCTGAATGACCCTGGGGAAAGTGACTTAGTTTCTCTCGTCCTCAGTTTTCTCATCTGAGAAAATGGGGAGATTAATCATACAGCTGTTAAACCACATATACATATATATCTCCATACATATCTCTCTAGCACCTGCAGAGCTGTAGGGAAATTAGTGATGGCGTGATTGGTCCAGCTTTCTGAAGAGTGTGTGACAGGAATGATCAATGACTCTATACACTGATTGGCTTGGAGAACCCACTTTCCCAGCGGAAACCTTGAGGAGGAGGGAAGGATGGTTACAGTGCTGTTGATTTCACTTCAAGCCAAATGCCTGCGCAGAGGCGAATGGCTCAGCCAGCTCCACAAGACTGGCCTGGAGGGAGGCCGCAGCCCCACTGAAACAGCCCCCTCAGGAATTCACACAGGGCCCACCTCTAGAAGCCTCTCCTGCCCCCCTCCCCCACCAGGTGAGGAAGAGAGTCAGGAAAAGAGTCATTCAGAGATGGGACGGAGGGAGACAGTTTCTTGAGGGGTCAAGGGATTGATGGGCAAGGCCTGTGCTTCCCTCCTTATGCCCCAACCCCTCCAAGCTCTGGAGCCTCTGGGCTCGGTTGTCTCCACCCCCACTTCCTGGGCCCCTTCCAGCCAGCCCAGAGGTGGGGACAATCTAACTGCTTCAGTCAGGTGTTTCCCATGCAAGATAGAGGTCCACAACCCTCTCTCCACCTGGTGGGGGCTCAAGTAGACAGAAGGTGGGCTCTTTCCAGGAGGATGTTTGCTGAAGAGCTTTTCCTTTGTGCACTTCTATATTGTTTGACTTTCATGAAGAGTATGTGTTATACAGAATTTTATATCTGCCTCAAATAAAGACTATATTACTACACTGGTCCTCACCCTCTCTCTTCCCTCTTCCCTGAGCCTTCACCGGGGGCCACCATCCCTCTGTCATCTGTCCAGGCCCAGAACCCAGAAATGACCCCTGACTTTCTTCTGCTTGAGTCCCTCTCACAATTAGTCCCAGTGCCCATCCATTCTTGCTGGCATATATAAATACACAGAAATTTCTCTCGATTATTCTGTTGTCTTCCCATGTCCCCCACACGCATTTATTGAGGCCCAATCATGCAGGAGACATTGTGCTAGCCCCTGACAGTAGAGGGGCTGCCTCCGCCATAGCGGGTTATTCCCTCTCTCCTGGGGCACTTATATCCTGACTCCCCAAGCCTCCTCCCCTCCCCTCGGATTTACCCCCATCACCTGGCCCTTTACACCGGGACTCTCTAATGAGTGAAAAGAGGCAACAACAGGACAACAGGAAGACTGAGCATCTGTTGCAGTCCTTGCTATTGTTCAACCCAGGAGGGTACCCCCGACCTTAGAATCGAGCCCAGCTTTCTTAGTCCTGCATTCAGGGGACAACTGCCAGGGTCCAATGAATAAAAATGCTTGCTCCATGAGGCTTACATTCCGAAGAGGGAAAAAGGGAAACAGTAATAATAAAGTAATACAAAATAAAATAATAATAGTAACTATTTTATTAAGTGAATTGACTAGTATACTGGGAGTTTCTAAGTCCTGTGGACAATGAAAAGGCAGAGCAGAAAATGGGGGTGGGGCAGGTTGCAGCCTCCTCTGCAGGCACGTGAATGCAAGCACCGGAACCACAGGCTGCCAGGAAGCCGCAGCACAGCCACACAGGCTGGGGATCACGAGCGGCTCTAGGACAGAGCAATCTGGCAACAAGTCCTTAGGAGTATGCAGCCTAAAACAAAAACTTTAGTCAGTATTTGTACTGTTTGTATTGACAGTGTATATATATTTTTTGAGCTATTCTCTTGAGTTGTCAGAGGAAGTGAATAATTACGTTTATTTTGATAGAGATCTAGATTTCAGGCTTAGTGAAAGGGAAAGCCAATCATAGACTCAAAAATTTGAGTAGGAGCAGTGTACTGTTAGAACTGAATTGAACCCAACATGAAGTCATACCTTTATAAAACATTTAATTAAAAACATATTTCCTTTTTGACTTTTTTCCATCAAAACGGTCCAGTAGTAATGCTACTCCATAAAGCACCCTAATGCCCAGATTTTGGTTTCTAATGCTATTTTTCTCTCAGAAGGAGCCAGGATTTTTGGAGCAATGTCTGATTCCACATTCTGTCTGGGCTGGAAGGGCATGAAGCGATCAATCCCAGAACACCCACACCTTGCTGGGCTAGAAACAAAGCTTTAAATAATCGGGTCATTCAAAATTACACCAGCATCACTCTAAAAGGGCTCCCACCCGCCAAAGTTGGGACAATGTGAGGATCAAAAGGAGAATACTGGCTGATATCAATTGACACAATAAATTTGAAATGTCAGGAGTCCATAAGGATACACAAAAAGAGCAAAAGCTAATACAACGCATTCTCAAAGAGGAATAGAATGCATTTCTACTGAGTCTTGTTATTTAATCGTGTTGGGCTTATTGACTGCGTCAATGAAGAATACTAGGAAATGTGAACCAGGAAAGGTAAATACACCAGTCCGAAGGCATTCTCCCCCCAACCTGAGCGCCTGCAACCGCCTCCTGCCCGGGCGCTGCGCTTCCAGTCTCTCCGCACTTACCTGTCTCCGGTCCCGCGGGGATTCCGCCGCCCGTTCCTTTCTTTTTCTCTTCGGAGGTTTCTTAGATTCCGTCTGTCTGGCCACTGTGTTACTCCTTCCCATCTCTTTAAAACAAAGAAACGTTTTTGTCTTATTTTGGGTGTGCTCTATTTGATAGGGAAACTTTCTGTGCGTGCAAACCTCTCCGTTTCTCTTGAATCCGGCCTGACTCGAATTTCAGGGAATTTTCGCAGCTTCTGGAGCCCACCAGGAGGGGGACCTCATGACGTCCACGGGTGTCTGGCGCCACCTTGTGTTGAGTGCTGGAAAAATTCCTTCTTCCGTTCCCACTCCCAGCAAACACCCTGGGCTTCCTAGAGACGGAAAAAGCTCGGACAAGTTTGCCGGAACGAGAACTCAATTACGAAACTTCCACGGGGTCGGCCCCTAGCAAACCTCCGCTGTCACTGGTGGCTTTAGGGTTAGTGGCCACCATTTTCCCGCTTGTGCTCTGTCTCCAGCATTTCCTTAGGGGTTTCGCTGCCCACCCAGCTATCCCTTCCCACGGGGTCCTTGGCCTCTGCCTCACTCTCCTGTCTATCCTCTTCCCTCTGTGCTGCCCTTCCCTACCTCTTAAAATAAGAATTTTCAGGTAGTTTTTCCTCTGTGTCTTATTTCTTGCCTATCCCTGGGCTAGACTGACTTTCTGGGGGTGCTCCTCAGGACACGGTTCATGAGGGGGAATCAGTTAAACCATTGCGGCGCCTAGGCTGTGAAATCTGGAACTGGCACACTGGAGATGACCCAAGTTACAGTTTTCTCTTGCTGGCTCCTGGGACCCTCGGCTCCTCAAGCATCTAACAAAAAACCCTGGAAAAACCCATCCTTGCCAGAGGTGGGAGCACGCACAGGAGGGAGCAGCAGGCTCACACGCGGAAGAGACAGGCCTTCCTGCTTCCCCCAGTCAGAGGCTGCAAGCCCTGGAGAGGCTGTAAAACCCCCTCGGAGGAAAAACCGAGCAGCCTTCTCGAACGCCTGCAAAAACCCCAAGAGCAAAAGCACAAACGCTCCTACCGTGGAGGAGGTGCAGTCCCTGTTTCCTCTATCGGACCCCACTGGGGAAATTTTTAAAAACTACCTAAAAAACTTGGCTGCTGGAAAAACTCAGTGCCTGGACAAACCTCAGTAACTTCTGCATTTTGTTCTTGTACGTAAACCACTCATCCACGAAGTGGCCACACGCCTCCAGATTTCCGGGAGGTGTCGCAGGCCGTCTACCGCATCGCCTCAGCACGAGATTAAGCCTGCAAACCACACCTTGGTTTCTAGCCTTAGGAGATCAGACCCCAGAACTCAGGCCCCCTGATGTCATCCCACCTGCATTAACCTGGTGGAGGGCTCTCCCAGGTGAGGCCAGTTTCACTGAAGTTAACCCTCCACGGTCTCACCTGCACTTTTGAGTGCGGCAGTTGGAAATTGATCAAAATGCAACAGCCCTCAGATTAAGCCTGGATCATGAGGGCCGATGGGGTGGAAGAATTACTGTATTTTAAACGAAAGGTTTTAAGTTAGCAGACGGCAGCAAGTAGATGCTGAAATTTAAATACATGTAATGTAAGCTGCTCAGTTTTAGTTTATGAGATTTCTTTTTCAGATAAAAGAATTTGTTTCCTTCCTTCTTTCTTCCCCTCCTCCTCCTCATTCTTCTTTCTTCCTTCTCTCTCTCTTTCTTCCCTTTTAAACAAAGTTTTAAACTCTGAAGAAGTTTGGGTTGGCAGAGACAAGCCTCAAGTTGAAGACTGGTAAGAAGCTTGGGTCTGAGATGTGGTTCTAAACATGTTGCCTAAAAGCGAAAAGCTCCGGTTCTGGAGTCGTGTGTGGTGTTGGTGGTGGCAGGGTGTGCACAGGCGGTGGGGCCCACTCTTCTCTTTGGCTAATGACTCATTTTAAAAATCATTTCCCCCCTAAACCATTTATTTCAAAATTAGAGTTTTTGAATTAAATGCCATTTAAAACTTTAAAAAGGCATTAAGAATATTGATAATTGAAACCAGGTAATGTGGATCAATTTACCTTAAATTCAAGGAATGTGATTTTATGATTTGCTTGAAGATGTAAATGGAGCTTCTACAGAATGCAATGTCAGGAATTTGGGGCATGGCCTATTTGATTTGGGGGAAGAATTTGGATTTCTCTATTAACACTGAATAGCTGTATCCTAAATTCGAGGCAGTGTGCTATGGCTATAAACACTGATGTGTTTTATGAATGGGTTCTATTGGAACTCGCATAATGTGGAAATTTTATGAATTTGTAAAAAAGTTTCCACTTGAACTTTCTGAGAATGGTTTAAAGGTAAAATAATCTAATTCATTTTTTTGATCATGAAAAAATTTATTGTGATATAATTTGATATATCTGATTATGTATTTTTAATTTAAACTTCATTGAAGTATATATGGTTGTATTTTACAACATTCTTATTTGGCTTTGGGAAATTTGAATTTTGTGTAGAATTAAGGTAATTGTTAATTGTGTTTTCCAAAGACTTCTAAGAATTTGGACTTCTACACTCTGTTGATGTGTAATTAAAATAAGCAACATATATATGAAGCAAAGTCTGAATTTTGACCCATAAGTCAAAAGAAATTTCAGGGGGCAGGCCCCGTGGCTGAGTGGTTAAATTTGCGTGCTCAGCTGTGGCGGCCCAGGATTTCACCGGTTCGGATCCTGGGCGCAGACATGGCATTGCTCATGAGGCCACGCTGAGGCGGCGTCCCACATACCACAACCAGAGGCACTCACAGCTAGAACATACAACTATGTACTGGGGGGCTTTGGGGAGAGGAAGAAGAAGAAGAAGAAAAAAAGAAGGTTGGCAACAGATGTTAGCTCAGGTGCCAATCTAAAAAAGAAAAGAGAGATTTCAGACAAAATCTGAAGATGCTGCATTTCCAGATACTCTTCTTGGATAATCGTAAAGAATTTGATCCTCCTGTGAGAAAATTAAAAGCTCTGATGACTTCTGGGCTTTAAGATACTGCTAATTGAGACCACCGTTTTGACTCTTGACTGCAAACCTTTGCGGAGCAATACCTAACATGATATACAAGGTTGGTAAGGGGATGCTGGACATCAGAAGAGCTTACAGCTTATTAAATGAGCAAGACAAATTGAAAAGCTTGGAAGATTAGAACGAGACTTTAAAAGAAAAAAAACCCTGAACATGTGAAAGTAATATAGATTGATAGGTTAGACAACAGGAGGCAGAACTGGTTCATTGAGCTAGAAGTCATGTGTGCCAATCTTGGTATTATATCTGTGGACCAAGCCATTGTGGATGGCCCAGATGATGGCAAAATGCAACCGCCGTGCAGAATTTTGGCCACTGCACCGTGGAGGTTTCTCCATCACCTCCCTCTCTCTCCTAAGGTCTGCCAGTCTCCACCTCCTGAGTCAAGCTTTGGTTTGTGAGCTGCTCTAACACTAGGACCTTCAAATTGAAAATGAGGACAATTCTACACCAGATAAGGACTTACACAGCTAAATAGAGTGAGAGATTATAAGTGACTCCAGAGCAAAGAGATTTTTTGCAAATCTTTAGTGGAAAGCAGTCTAAAAACAATGAGTGTTAGAAAAATCGAACTTCATTAGATAATTGGATAATTTGCATTAATGTAAAGCTATTTTAGAGCTATTTTCTCTTCAGACAAAGAAAACAAGTAATTATATTTATTTTGTTAGGAATCTAGATTTTTTTAGCATAAGAGAAAAGGAAGTACAATTGTTGAATCAAGAATTTGAGTAGGAACCCTATATTGTTAGAACTGGACTGGAAAAATAAATGTGAAGTCATGCTTTTAAAAGAAAAAATAGCAAATTAAAAATACATACGCTTTGTCTTTCTGTGCAGTGAAGTGGCCAGGGAGCCGTGTCACCCTACAATGGACCTCGGCTCCCACAATGTGGTCTCTAACACTCTTTCCCCATGGGAAGCACCTTGGGACAAAACGCAGATTCCATAATTTGAGCTGAAAGTTCAAGGTGAACCTGAACGACTGAACAACAAGGTCAGTAAGCAGGGAATTTTATATAAATTAGTAGGTTCAAAAGGCCATGGAAGCCAGTCTGAAAGGGGCTCCTGCTGGCAACTTGAGCATCAGAAATAAAGTATCGGCTGAGATGAGTTGGCTTACAGTAAACGTGACAAGTCATGAGTCCAAAATGGTACACAAGAGGAGAAGTCTACATCAGGTAGTCTGGGAGAAGGTGAAAAAAACGTGTGTTTTGGTGAGCTGTTAATTGAATCATGTTGGTACTACTGTCTTGTCTGTTGTATAGATGAAGAAGAAAGTAGTAAACGCGAATACATCAGTCAGGAGGAATTTTTAAGACTCAAGAGGAACATACGTGGAATGACCCTGTGAGTGGTAACCTTGAGTCAGACAAGGCCACATAAAACACCAAAATTCCACTGGAGTGTCTTTGATTATACTTTTTTTTTAAAACTCCTATTTTTTTTTTAAAGATTTTTTTTTTATTTTTTCCTTTTTCTCCCCAAAGCCCCCCGGTACATAGTTGTATATTCTTCGTTGTGTGTCCTTTTTTTTTTAGTTGTGGCATGTGGGACGCTGCCTCAGCGTGGCTTGATGAGCAGTGTCATGTCTGCGCCCAGGATTCGAACCAACGAAACACTGGGCCGCCTGCAGCGGAGCGCGCGAACTTAACCGCTCGGCCACGGGGCCAGCCCCTGATTATACTCTTGTATTAAGAGGACCCATAAAATCGATGCTGTGGAGCTGAGGTGTGGTGGGTCCTGGCTTCCAGAACTTCCCGAGTCTGGCTTGTGTTTGTCTCTTCCAGCCAGCTCGTGGTACCCTCTGGGGACAAGCCAGGAAATATGAATTGTGTAATTTTGGTAATTTTCTGCAACAGCTAAATAAATGCTCTGATATTTGCATTTAAAATTGGTATTGCACAGAGCCAGCCCTGATGGCCTAGTGTGTAAAGTTCGGTGCTCACCGCGTCAGCAACCTGGGTTCACTTCCTGGCCACGGAACCACACCGCCCCTGTCAGTAGCTATGCTGTGGTGGTGGCTGACATAGGAGAACTGGAACGACCTACAACTAGGATATACAGCTATGTGGTGGGCTTTGGGGAGGGAAAAAAAAAGAGGAAGATTGGTAACAGATGTTAGCTCAGGGTGACTCTTCTCCTGCAAAACAAAACAAAACAAATGTTATTGCACAATACAAAGATGATCAGTAAAATTTGTACTAATATAAACATTTTATCTTTCTTTACTTAGAACACCATTAAACAAGTAAATAAAACACAATGCAAATAAAGCAAATAAAAAACACCATGACAAGCCTAGAAAGAGGTCACAGAAGAAAGGAAAAGCTTTCTATGTACCTTTAATGACACTTTTTCTGCTTCATGCACAAAGGTCCCCACAAACTATGTAGTTGACCCTGCTCGTTGTCAGTCTGCATAGTCGCACAGCCAGTGAAGGAGATGGGGGAGTTAAGAATTTACTCCTGAGTCCAGGGTCCAAGGAACCAGGAGAATGACAGACGGGGAAGGTGGAGTGGCCTGTGCATGGGGCAAGGATGACGAGGTTGCTTGGGGATGTGTTGGGTTTGGGGTGCTGGATGTCCAGAAGGCAGTGGGAGCAGCAGTCCTAGCACACAGGGCCCATCCAGGAGTGGCTGACTGCGTGGAGGGAGGAAGAGAGGGTGAGCAGAGAACTGAGGTCCATCAGAGTTTGTTCTCTCTACATCCTTAGAGTTTCATAGAACTTGAGGGAGCTGAACTGCAAGGAGAGGGGGGATTGTCAGCATCCTGTGCTGTGTAGGGAGGAGGCCGCTGGGTTTGGCAGGAGGGCTGTGCCAGTATTGGGGCAGAGGGTCCCACTGCAGGGAGCTCTGGGGGCTGGATTATGAGGAGTGGAAGGGGGCAGCCTACTCCTTCCGAAAGCCTGGGTGCAGGAGAAGGAATCAAGGAGAGAGTCAAGAGCACTGGAGTAGTGGACGCCAGCATGCCAGAGTTGCTTGGGGAATGTTATAAAGGACAGATGCCTGGGCCTCAGGATCTCC